AATATGTTAACATAATTCAAAATTGTTATAAAATTAAAGATACCTAAATACTGACCATTTATTAAGAATGATCTTATAATTATTCACATAAAAAATTAATAAAAAACAACCCGTGAAAATTGTAATATATTAACATAGTTCCACATTGTCATAAAACTAAAGACAGCTAAATACCGACATAAAAAGTTCACGAACAAATATAAATCGATCTATAATTATTCACATAAAAAAAATAATAAAAAACAACGAGCGAAAATTATAACATATTAATATAGACCAACATTGTCATAAAACTAAATACAGCTAAATACCAACCTTTCTTGAGAATGATCCATAATTATTCACATAAAAAAGTCAATAAAAAAACAACCAGCGAGAATTGTAACATATTAACATAATTCAACATTATCATAAAACTAAAGACAGTTAAATATCGACATTTCTTGAGAATTTGTTAGAGTGAGAAAAATATAAAGATATGATCATCAAATTAAATAAATAATAAAAATGTATATCCTTAGTGTCAAACTCAAACATGGGTGTCCTTATAGACACCAAGGTACCACTCCGGCAAACCTATTAATACAAAAAAATTCTTAATATAATTTATATATTTTTATTTGGTTCGGGTCAACTCGAAGGTTTTATCCATGAACTCGAAATCGAACCGATTTAGTTCGGGTTCAGAAAAATGAACCAAACCCTACCCGAAATGCTAATCCAACCCAATTCAACTCTTATAGTTCGGGTTGGGTTGGTTCGGGTTGTTGGATTGAATGTACACCCCTAATTCGTAAATAATGACTATATGAATGTAACACTAAAGACTAATAGAGATCGTGTTTATAAAGTTTAAAAATTCGGATAGACATTTTAAAAATTTATAGATTTTAATAAAAATAAAATTTTTAATTTTAAAAATTAAAATATAAATTATAAAATTTTACGGATTCAAAATGATATATTCTCGGAAGTTTTTCTACCGTAATTTCATGGGTCAAATTTTAAAATAAAGAAATAAATTTATATTAAAAGTATCGTCTTAGCTAATAACTTGTAACAACTCAAACCAACCGTTACAAGATATTGTATACTTTAGCTTGTTAGGTATATCTCACGGTTTTAAAACGCGTTTGGTAGGGAGAGGTTTTCACACCCTTATAAGAAATGCGTTCTTCTCTTTAACCAATATAGGGTATCACAATCTCAATGACATATTTTTTGGTGTTTGACTCTGATACCATTTAGTCACATTCCGATCTTTCGATACCTCGAAAATCAGGATGTGACATAACTGATCACATGTTTTTTTTTAAGTTTACGTGGCTCGATCGGTAAATTAGGAACTTAAATCGATATTCTACATTGTAAATTAAACTAAGGTGGATTGATTTGACTGGTTGACACCCGACATACAACTCGACGTGTGGTGAGCGTGATTAGCAACCGAAAGAAATTTTATCAATCAAATCCTATAGAGTTCAAGGACTTATTTGTAAATAATAAAGTTTAGTTTTCAATATAGTTTGGGACAAAAGTTGTGAATAAAGGAAAATTGGAGGGGTTTGTATGCAAATTTTTTGGTTTGCTCCAAACAAAATCCATCGCATCCCATCATTTTGTCTCTATCTCTCGCAGTAGCCAATCGATGGCTTCAAAACCGTTGGATGAAAAATGGCCAACAGATCTAAACTGTTGATTTGGATAAGCCCAAGATGAGATAGTGGGCAACATTTGTGATTTAAAAATAATATTTTAAGATTTAACCAAATAGGTCGTGTTCGTGAATTAGGTTAAGTACCGTTCTACTTATAAATTTTTTTGTTTGCCTCAAATAATGTAAACGACTCTAATGATCTAATAGAATTTACTCAACCTGACCGAGTTTTGACTAATGGTAACTCGTATTGTAATGGCTCAAGCCCACCGCTAGCCGATATTATCCTTTTTGGGCTTTTCCTTTCAAGCTTCCCCTGACTTTAAAACACGTCTGCTAGGGGAAGGTTTCCACATCTTTATAAATGGTGGTTTGTTCTCCTCCCCAACCAATGTGGGACATCACAATCCACCCCCTTCGGGGCCCAGCGTCCTCGCTGACACTCTTTCCTTCCTCCAATCGATGTGGAACCACCCCCAAATTCACCTCATTTGGGGTCCAGCGTCCTTACTGGCTCACCGCCTCGTGTCTACCCCCTTCGGAGAATAGCGAGAAGGCTGACACATTGTCCGGTGTCTGGCTCTGATACCAATTGCAACGACCCTAATTTTTACCTATTTAATATAATTCTGCATTCCAAGGTATAGTAATGACTTTAGATTAAATAGGTAAAAATTAGGGTTGTTACATCGTAGGTCTGAATTAAATTAGTTCATAAACTGGATTAAATTGAACTGAAAGAATTCGAATTTATTATTAATTTTAAAAATAGGTTATTGCTTCCCGTGCAATTATATATACATGTAAGTCTTTTATTTTTATTTTTGTTAGGGAGAAGTTTTCACACCCTTACAAGAAATGTTTTGTTCCCCTCTCCAACTGGCACATCGTCCGGTGTCTGGTTTTGATACCATTTGTAACAGCTCAAGTCTGTTGCTAGCAAATATTGTCCGCTTTGGCCCGTTACGAATTGCCGTCAACCTCTAGTTTTAAAACGCGTATGCTAGGAAAAGGTTTACATACCCTTAAAAAAAATGTTCCATTACCCTATCAAACAGAGATCTCACAATATGTCAAATACATATTACATTACGAAGAATCGCTCCTGTAAAATATTTTTAGCCTGAGCGTTTTGTAAGAAAAGTAAACATTAAAGTAATTTGTTGTTGAGCCCTTTTTTGCAAAAGTGCTTAAAATTAAAGTACTTTCACCAAAAACGCTTATTAAAAAAGTACTATCGAACACACTTTTAATCGAATCAAAGCTCAAACGAGAGGGACTAAATAGTAAATTTAACATTTAAAACAACTCGAGTCCCTCTCGATAAACACGATACAGTCAAAATACCAGTGGAGGAGGAGGCCCTTCTCACTTAAGCTCAAGCATACCCTACTTTTATTATGAAAATTAAGAATATTTGACGTTTGTAACGGATAGTAGTGATGCATTATAACGTATGAATGTTCGATCATTAATAACTTTTTAATAGTTAAAAAAAAAAACCAGACAACCCAGTTCAAGAGTTAGGTTGGGTTATGTTGTGAACTGTGTTCGGGTTGGTTGGATCACCGACCCGTCAAATTGAAATTTCGAGTAGGTCCAAAAACTAGTTAATGGAAAAGAATGGATAGGAGGGTAAAATTGGAAAGAATGTTTAATGATGGGAGTTGATAATTACTTGCCTACTTTTTCACCTCCATTTTCTATCATTCACAATCATCAATCTTCATCTATTTCCATTCATGCCCCCCTCACAATTATGCAACCAAAAAGGCTTTATTTATTTATTTATTATTTAACACAAATCATTGCATTAGTTTTCAAACCCAATTTTATGCCTACCTTTAAATATGGTATAATTATCTAATATTATATATATAAAAAAATGTACCCTAAGAGTAAAAAGTGAAAACCCAAACCTCACTAAACTAGTCCGGGTAGGGATGTACATCTAACCACTAACCTGAAAACTCAACTCCCGAATTATAAGAGTTGGGTTTGTTTTTTGAACTTGATCTAGTTCGGGTTGGATTTGGGTTGGGTTTAGGTTCAAAATTTAAATTATTGGGTTAACCCGACCCAACCTGAAACCTTAAAAAAAAAAAAATAGGCCCAAGCCCACACAACCCAAGCTCATGAATCACGTTTGCACTGATCCTCCACCTAGGGGTTGCACGGTCTCTATCTCTACTCCTTGTTATATGAGATTAAATTAATAATTGTTTTTCTTGCTGAATGTTTCATCGTTCTCATCTCACAATGTTCGTCTTCATTGTTCGCCTTTTTATTTCTCTATTAATGTCGTTTTCATCTTATAGAGGACATCAATGTCGCTTGTCAGTCGCTTCTTTATTTCTCCGTTAGATTCTCTTCTGAATTCTCATTTCTCCGCTCGACTTCTCTATCTCTTCTCAGTCTGGAACAACCTTAACCCAACTTGAAAATAGAGGGTTGAGGTGTGAAAATTTTCGAGTTCAATTGGATTACCAATCCAACTAATCCGAACTTTGTGTTGGTCCAAAAAAATTTCTCAATCCGAACCATACAAAAAAAAAAAAAAAAAAAA